AGGGAGGGAGGAAAGAAGGAAGGAAGGAAGGAAGGAAGGAAGGAAGGAAGGAAGGAAGAAAAATTCTTAAACTAAAAATTGGGTGACATGCACTGAACACTGAAGCCCATGTGGCCCGTCCCGCTGACCACCAGCCGGATCCTCCTGCACAGCTGGCTCTGCTTGGGCCATGGCCAATCGGCACCTGGGAGGCAACCGCCCCTCGGGGGCCAGGGGGACCTCTGTCCTGAACTCACGTGCAGGTCAGACCGGGGACCTCTGTGCATCCTTCCTGGGTCGTCACGACCTCACGCTTGATCCCGGCCACTGCTCCAGAACCCTCTTTGGCCAGGAGATCAAAAATGTCGTTATTGTAAATCTCCACTATGGACACCTCAGCCGTGGGGCTTCTCGGTGGACTTTCTGAAATGAGCCTGGGGAAGCACACACGGGGTTAACCAACAGAGGACAGCCCGGCCCCATGGCAGATGGCCGCAGCCACAGACACTCAGCAGGCATCCTGCAGCAGGGTGCAGGGCAGGTCTCACAGCACCATCTAACCTGGAGGGAGAACCGCGCCTGGGGACAAAGTGACTTCATGGGAGTCTTGCTTAAATCAGCTGCTGCACAGTCCTACCCACAGGCCCTGCGGCCCAGGTGGAGAAGAAGGAAGGACTCACAACCAGGAGCAGAGACCCCGCAGCCAGCTCACCCTGGGGCACGAGGCTGGGGCGAGCTGCAGACCACAGGGCTCCTTTGTCTGAACCCCCTGCTTCAGGGAGGCTGGGTCAGCGGCATGGAGGCCAATCCACTCATGAGGCCCCCCAATGTCCCCTGGCCTCCTACACACCCACTCAGCTCTCAAACACCACCACGAGTCTCACTATGCTTCAGCTGTTAAAGTGTGATGTGCTGACCACTGGAGAACTAGAACTAAGGGGGATGCACACCTAGAGGGGAGCCCACCCTCCCACATCCCCCCTCATCCTGCTCTGCCCTCTGGCAAAACTAACCCCCTGACCTGCCCCAGGCCAAAGGACAAATGAGGCTGCTTCATGGTCCAGATTCCCGCCTCCCTGACACAGCACAGTTGGGTCAGCGGATCCCCATCCTGCATTGCTCTTGCCCAGGAGGACGGGCCCAGGAGAGGGCATTGACGTGTGCTTGAGGCAAGTCCTGTGAGATTTTCCCGTCCGAGCTTTGCTAGAAGGAGTCGTTAGTCCAGATCTAGAGACAGTTGTGGGCAATCGATGTCTTCTCATGGCAAACAACAGACCTACGCAACAGAGCAAAGGTGGAAGAGGAGGCCAGGGTCCAGACACCGGCGTGCTCACACTGGAGTCTGTGGGGACCGTGCCAGGAACAGGGTCTGGGAGATGCCAGAGGAGCTCACTGAGCCGGCAGCTGGGTGGACATGGCCTCTGCAGACATGGCCTTTCCTGAGGGACCATGTGTCTCAGGGTCATGGGCCCCGAAGCAGACGCTTCTCATCCACAGAATTCCCCAGAGTTCATTTAAAATGCTCATCAAGTCGCCCTCTGGATTCCAGAAGTGGTCGGAAACTGCATCTTCTCTTTTAGCCTTTAAGCAGCAAAGTTTCTCGGGCAAGATATGGGGTCGTCACGGAGAGCGTGTCCTGTGGTCAGCCCAGGCGACACCAGCCCAGGCTCCTGGGTTACATGGGCAGGCCCTGCAGAGACCCCTTTCCCTCCTGCGTGCCCTCGGCCGCTCTGTGTCCTGTCCAGTGGTCCTGCACACGTCCTCCTGCTGCGACCTTTCCACTCCAGGCTTCTGAGGGCTGAACAGCCATCACACACACCTCACGTTCTCCATGCCTTTGGCGGTGTTGAGGAAAGCATCCTGCATCCGGTGAATGAGGGTGAGCAGAGACCCAGGCCAGGAGGCGGTGTCCACAGCCAGCTCAGAAGGAAGCGGGGAGATGCCGGAGCAGAGTCCCCGAATCTCATTTCAAACGGCAGCAATGGCTCTCTGGTAAGCGCAGTCTGGCAGGACCCTGTCTTAGGGTAAAGGGTCCTCAGACACTCCCTGATACGCGGCCCCGTGTTGTGGTTTTGTCTTTTGGCGGGAGGACAGAGCACATGTTAACTCCGGCACACCCACGCTGCCCCCCACCAGTGCGGGCAGCTGAATTCAGGTCACTCGTGTGAATTTCCTGGGACCCCAAATAAAACACAGACACACACTTCACCTTTAAATCAAGCTCCAGGACGGCTCCTCCGCGGTCGACCTCAAGCTCCCCAAGTGGGAGAGCGAGGAAAGTCACGAGAGGCTGGCGGGAGAGAGCGAGCGCGCACGTTTGGAAGTGGGCTTTTATTGGGGGGACCCTCCTTCTTAGAAAGTTCCATCAAAAAAGACCAGGAGGGGCAGGGTTACAAGGACAGGTGAGAGGAATTCGACCCCTGGGGCTGCAGGGCGGCTCCCCTATGTCTGAGGACACATTCTGCTGCTTCCAGGATCCGGGCAATATCCAGGTAACTACGCAAGGGACCCACAGAGCCCCTCGCATCACGGGAAGGAGAGTGCCCCCCAGACTCGCCCCCACGTCTGGCTGAACAATGTCTAGAGCTCGTCTGAGGTGACCAGCTGAGGTCTCAGCTCCGAGAGATCACCTCGTCAGCTTACACTTGGACTGAGATCACACGGTGCCTGTCCTTCTGAGTCAGGCTTAGTTCTCCTGGCACAGCCATCTCCAGGTCCATCTTCTTGTACACGACAGGATCGTCCTTCTGTGGCCAACTCGTGCTCCATGGTGCACAAGCCCCACCCCTTCTCTGTCCACCCTCATGATGGACTCGGGCTGCTCCTGTCTTGGCTCCTGTGAATAGAGCTGCGGTGACCCAGGGAGAGCCGTGTCCCTCAGCACCCTGACCCCTCTCCTCTGGACGTGTACCTGGCAGTGGGATGGCTGGGTCACATGCTAGTTCTACTGTTGGTGTTTCAGGGAATCTCCGTGTGGTTTTCCACGCTGGCTGTGCTGATTTACACCTCACAACAGTGCAAGGGCCCCTTTCCTCCACCTCCTCGCCAGCGGTCACCTTCAGTCTTCTTGGCAATGGCCATTCTCACTGGAGCCCAGTGAGGGCTCTCGGTGGTTCTGACTCGTGTTTCCGCGACTGGTGGTGTGGAGCATTCGTAGGCCTGTTGGCCATTTGCATGAACTGACTGGTCAGGCCTGTTGCCCATCTCTAGTCAATTCTCTAAGGATTTGAGCCCTCCACACTGAAGCCAGATTTAAAGTTAGGTAGTCAGTGTAGTTAGGTAAATCGGGTCTAATATCCAGTGAAATCTAAAATGGAGGCCATGCTGGGAATGACTCAGGGAAAACGCAGGACAATTCATGGAATGTTAGTGAAGTCCCGAAAAGGCCCTAGGCCAAAGTCCACCTCAAAGAAGTGTTAATGAACAGCCCCCAACAGATTTGGAGATGGCCCATCCCAGAGAAGTGATAAGCCCATCCCAAAAGTCCTTCCTGCCCTTTTGGCCCACAGGTGTCCCACCTCTCGGGTCCTCCAACCTACATTCCATCGCCAAACCTATAAAAAGGGGAACACATTTGCCCGCTAACTGGATTCCACCTCCTGGGTCCCCTTCTTCCTCCGGGAGAAGTCTTTTCTTCTGTCCTTTAATAAACTTCTAACCTCTACTCTGACCCTGCCTCAGCGTGCTTCTTTGGTGTTATTCTTCAACATCGGGGAGCAAGGACTCGTCACCAGTCAACAGCGGTAACAACGCCGTCTGCTCTGGTGGTCCAGATGGCTTGGTGCTCTGGGTACAGATGCCGAGAGGCTGCCTGCGCAGGTCCTTCACAGTGAAGGGGGAGCGGGAGGGCTGAGGCAGGCAGAGGGCAGACGCTCCCCCGGAAATCCCTCTGCAGGCCTTCTCAGCCCTCAGCCTCCAAAGGAAGTGAGGAGCCTCATGCTCCAGCCAGCAGCTGGCCGTGCCTGGGGGCTCAGACCCGCACTCCCCTCACCCTGGAGGTTCTGATCTGCTTCTCACCTGGATGGGCACTGTCCACCTCATCTCTGAGCTCTTCTGCAACCCATAGCGGAGCAGTGTCTGCAGACACCGAGATGCCTCCAAAGCTGGACCCCAAGAACTGAGCTCAGCGTCGGTGAGGCAGCTCTTGGTGTGTGTCTGTGGTGGGGCCTGATGCTATTCCCAGGGCCCTGTTCTGCTCAGCCGTGGCCGAGGAGATGGGGAAGGATGGACGCATGTGCCCGGGGGATCCCTGAGGGCACAGGCATAGCTTCCCTCCCCTCACACACAGGCACATGCTGGGAAGTCCTGATCTCCAGGACCTGTCACTGCAGCACAACATTATGCAAAGGGCATGTGTCCCAGGACATGGTGGCCAATGACAGAAAATACGGAAGGACTTTGCAGTATGTACCCAGAAGTACTTAGTCCAAGTGAATTGGTAGACACGTGAGTTTGACAGATATTTAAGGAATACCAGTTTGAAGACACTAAAGCACCCGGCTTGGTGGGGTTGCTACATCATGGTTCATTCCTGGTTTTAGGACACAAAAGGACAACATAAGGAGGTAGAGACAAAAGTCGAGTCTCAGGGTGGGGGCACAGAGGTCGCTGGCCGTGCTGTCTGTCCCCACGGGGCAGGGCCCGGGCTGGCTGGGTGGGCAGCCATGGTACGTGCAGAGCAGCGTGAGAACCAGAGGGGAGGGCGGAGGCCAAGAAGGGAGGCCAAGCCCGCCATGGGCCCTGCCGACCTGGGCGGCTGGGGACCTTATGGTTTCTTCCTAGGACTGATTTAGGTGGGACATCCTGACCGTGGCCACAGGTCTCCTGTGGGGACCCGTTAATGGAACAGGAGACCCTCTATCAGGAGGAGTTTGCTCCCTGGGGGGAAAGGAGCCCAGGGATCTTGGTCAAGCGCTCTGTCCTCAGGAGACCTTCGTGAGCTGACCCTGGGCCTGCTCTCCATCCCTCCCGCCCCGTCTCTTCCCACACAGCACGAGGCTCTGTGCTCAGTCCCCACCATCCAGGTACCTGAAGAGCTCCTCCGTGGCTCTGGGGATAATTCCCCAGTCAGCGTGAGCCCCCGACGGCAGCCCGGGCTCGTCCTCAGCATGCGGCCCCAGCATGGTGTAGCTCTTCCCGCTCCCAGTCTGCCCGTAGGCCATGATGCACACGTTGAACCTGAAAGGCAAAGCCCGCTCAGGCAGCAGCACACGCCCGGCCGGCCACTGGCCAGCGAGAAGGCGCCCTCACTGAAGGTGAAATTTCAACACACTTCATTTCGTGTCCCCCTGTGACTCCACTTCTTGTAAGTCAGGCTTTCATTCAGCCGTGACTAGTGCCACCACGGCCACCGTGTGGCTATTCTGCACACAGCCTGCATCTCGCCCCGCCTGCTTCGCATCCGACGTCTCTCAAGGGTCATGTCCTCCGTCAGCTCGCAGGTCACCAGGGCCTACCCACAGTGGGTCCCTCCCGAATTCCCACAATGTCTCATTGGCTTTCAACACGGTATTAGAGTGGCCCGGGGCAAGTGCATCTTCATGTTTCATGAAATGCTATAGAAGTTTGCATGTTTTCTTACCATGTTCTGAGAACATTTTGTTGGTTTTAGTTAGTCAGCAGCACAGTGGCCACCGTTGTACACCGATGGTTTCAGGACACAAAAGGACAACACAAGGAATCGTGGGCTTTCCTTTTCCCAGTGAACCTACCAGTGCCCAGGCCCTCCCCACCACCTGCCCTGGGGTTACTGGACCACAGTTTGTTCAACAGAAGGCAAGGATTCCTGATGGACCCCTGAATTTCCCTCCAGTCCTGTAGGCCAAAACATCCATGAGAAGGTTGGGAACATCTACCTAACGTTTTAAATTAGTTTATTACATGAAATGATATCCTCAGCCATAGGTGGTCTTGCCTGAAAGGTGCTGGCCAGATGCACGCTGCAGGGTCCTCCACCCTGACTGCCCGGCAGGTCACCCAGCATTCCCAGGCCCATACTCCCCTCACCCTGGAGGTTCTGGTCTGGCTTCTCCTTTTGGATGGGCACTGTCCACCTCATCTCTGAGTCAAGTGAGTGCTTTCCCTGGACAAAGGTTTGGGCAACTGGTTGGTGGTCATCTGAACACTCAGTGCCCAGAGCAGTGACGAGCCCAGAGGCCCAGACTGAGGGAGCTGTCGCATCCCCAGAGACCTTGGGGCCACAGGGACCAGCTCAGGGCCTGTAAGCTGTCGCCCTGCACTTGGGGACTGAGGAGGCTCGAGGCGCGGTGACCACGGTGACGGGAGCCGCCACACCCGACTCTCACCTGCCAGGCCCACCTCCCTTGCCCTTGACCCAGCAGAGCTCCCCCACCGGGAGGGGGAGCCGGGCCGGCAGCACAGGGGCTGGGACAGCGCGGCGCGCTCCGGTTACCAGGGGAAGGCAAGTGCAGCCGACTGCAGCCACGGACTCTTCACTTCTGAAAAGATGCCTGCTGACCGGAGCAGCCTGGCCATCTCCAGGGCAGATGGACACAAGCCAGCTAGGCAGAAACTGCCCAGCGATGAGCGGGGATCAACGGGTGCCAGGGTGGTGAGGTGGACAAGGGCCAGCCCCGCTCCACAGATCACAGGCCTCGGGCAGCCAGGGCACCAATGGCGAGACAGCAACCCTGCAATTAGCTTCTATTTGTGGAGGTCGGTCACGCGGCCTCCTCTCTGGGCAGACATAGGGGCGTCTTCTCCAGCGAGTTGGATGTGGACCTCTGGGCAAGCTGTGGCCTGAGGATCCTCAGTTCAATATTCCAACCTGGTTTAACTGATGGCTAAAGAAGTGCTCTTTACTCCTAAGACCCCTGCCTTTAAAGTCGGTAGTTGTGTTTCCTTAGACAGAGCCCCCGACATGATGGAACGCTACAGCAGACTTGTAAAACGTCTGAAATGTAAAGAATCCCAGAGGGTGAAGGCAGCCGCTAGGAGGCCCGAGTCCACCCACAGCCACCCAAGCCCTGCTCAGGCCCGTAGCTCTGCACAGCAGTGCCCTCCTTCTCCAGGGGTGGAGGCATGGCGCAGTGCAGGACGCAGAGCCAGCACTGGCCACGGGCTGCCCCCGCCAGGCCTCTGATTTCTGTATGGGAAAGAGGTTTGCTTAGGTTTAAATGCAACTGTGATCACTGGCCTTCGTTTTCACTCACCCGTCCAGGAAGGACGTCAGTAGGGGACACACATCTGCAAACACAGCCTCCTGAGACTCTGCTGGACCGTAGACTCTGCGACAAACAGAGGCTGCGTCGGGGGAGGAAGGCTGCTCCGGCATCCTGCAGGAGCGGGGCCTGCGTGCAGGCCTACATGTGCACCCCAACACACTGGAGACCCCTGCCTGTCCACAAGCTGAGAGGACACAGGAGGTGGACAGGTGGCGCCCTGCCTGGAGCTCAGAAGCATGGGGGTGTGCACAGGCAGACACCTCAGTGCTGCTGGGCAGCCCGGTCCCCGAGACCCCGGCTGGACGGCGCCTGGTGGACTGTGTGTGCTCTGAGGTCCACTGCTTCTCCCTGGAGGCTCTTTCAGGACACCCTGCCCCCACTCACTTGTGTGTTGGTGAGCACCTAGCTGGGGACTTGGAGGAGTCCGTGAATCTCCAACTGTCCCCACAAAGCCAGAGGCCACTGCAGGGTCAGGAAGAGAGTCCTCAGACGTGGCAGTTAGGAGCAGAGGACTAAGCCTGTGCCCGGGGCCCCTCACCATCCTTTGGTGGTGGTGGGGGAGGAACTTCCCAACCCTACTTGCAGCCCTTCTGTGCCTCCCGGGTCCCCCCTGCCACTCAGGAGCCAGGATCACTCACACCCAGCTGACCAGGAAGGCCTCTGACTCAGGCCCTGTTGTTTGAGAGAGAAAAGAGAGAAAGCCCTGGATTTAGCTGGGGGTGGGAACAGGGGTTATCTCTAACCGCATCCCCCAGAGGCGGGACAGGGGCACGTGTCAGTCGACCCCAGGCATGATGTGCATGGTCTATGTGTACTCGGCCAGCACTTACCTTTCAAAATTATACGTCTTATTGATCTCAGGGTGGCCAGGACGATGGCATTTCACCAGAATCGTTTCCTAATAGAAACAGAATAGAGCCATCAGACCCAGCCAGGGCTTCACTAATCAAACGGGAGCCGGGGTGGAGGACACCCCTGGGCCAGGGCCAGCTGTGGCCTGTTTGGTCAACACAGTTTCCTGGACCACCCGGAGCCCTTTGCTGACGAACGCGGCAGGCTGCGAGGTGCAGGATGGCTCCAGTGGTCAAGAGAGAGGACACTTGGCCTCGAAGACGGCAGCCTGCAATGCCCGGCCCTTAGAAAAAGGCTTGCCTGCCCCCACCCAGAGAAGGCAGTCACACCGTGGGGAGTGTGCGATGGCCTGGGCCAGTGGCCTGAGCACCCTGGGCACTTGCAGTTTCCCACAGGGGATGAAGCCCCCAAGGCTGGAGAGCCGCTTTCCAGCCACTTCCTCTGGGCCTTCTGAGCCGTCTCCTTCAGGGACCTCCCGGGGAGGGGAGCCCAGGCCGCCCTTCAAGAAGAGGGGCTCCAGCTTCGGCTGCTGCTGGACAGAACGTGCATGGGCCCCAGTTCCCAAACAAACTGAAACTTCACGGAGAGTCAGCGGCTTGGGAAGGCGGAACAGCAACAGCACAGATCTGAAGGGCCAGGCGTTGGCTGTCCACAAGTCCTTGTATTTGGAGGAAGCAGATGGGCGCTCCCCACCCCCTGGCCAGCACACGGTGCGTGCACAGGAAGCACATAGGAATTTCTGTGAGATGACAAATACATGCCACCACGTGCCCTGTTCCGGGTAGAGCCACAGGCTGGGGGCCCCACAGCTGTCAGTGCGAGCAGCGCTCCTCTTCGCTGCCCACTGCTGAAAGCCCCTAATGGCAGCGGCTAGAGCCCAATGCTGCACACCTGGCCAGGTGGGGCTCCTGGTGCTGTGCTCTGAGGCTGCCGCACAGGCGGCCCTTCACCGTCTGCAGTCACAGAGGAATGCCACCTGAGTCCCAGCATGCATCTGGGTACGGCAGGCGAGGGAGACATGACTAAACATTGGCCTCTGCACACATCCTGCGGGGACGAGGCTTGGCTTTCCTGACAACAGCCTGGCCCGGCCCTTCCCACCTGCAGCGCCTGCCCCGTCAAAGCGCGAAGGCCCTGCCCATGCCCAGCCTGTCCTTCACACCACTGCCTAGGAATATTCCCAGACGCCAACTGAAGAGGGGCAGTGAGGTCCCTGAAGCCCAAGAAGCAGGTCACGGGAGGGACAGAGCCAGGTCTGGCAGAGGGTCACCCAGGCCTTACTTCAAGTCCCTGTAAGCTGTGGTAGACCAGGAGGTCATCTGGGCCAGGATGAGAAGATCAGGAGTGCAGGGGGGGAGCCTGTCCACGGGAGGGCAGCTCAGCGAGGCCTGGGGAGCACTAACTGTGACCCCTGTCATGACCCCAAGACAGGGCTCTCTGCTCTTCTCACCCCCTAAACTCCCTAATAAAAGGCAGGAGCAAAGCTCAGATATCAACCAGGACCAGTGCACCCACAGCCCACGTGGACCAGTAGCCTGGCTGCCACACCCCAGCGTGGCCAGCCTCGGCCCCGCTCCCCCGGCTGGCACCCCTGTCACTTGACTCCTGCACCAGGAGTGACCCCCACGCCATGCAGGCATCAACAGGAAGTAATGTCCCAGCTTCCGCTGTAAGAAAAGCCCTGACGCTCAAGGGGTTCTCCCAGGAGCACAGAGGGCCCCGGCACCAGCTGGAGACCAAGCGCCCTCGGGCTCCCGGGACCTCCGACTGCAGTGCCATCAGCGAGGAGAACACCTAGACCATCCCCAGGAGCGGGGAGTGGCTGCCCCAGCCCAGCTCAGGGCTCTTTTCTGCCTGTCCCCACAGAAGCTCCCCCTTCACAACACTGCATGTCTCTTGGACTCACCAATAGGACTCGGTTTAAAAACAGCCTCCAGCCCCGGGTGGGGGCTGCCTGTGGCCCGAAGCCCGTCACTCGCAGGCTCGACCTCCGGATTCTTGCCATTCCTGAGGCTTCTAGAGGCGGGAGGCGGGAGGATGGAATCCAGCGTCCTGCAGCGAGGACAGGGCACCAGCCCTGCACAGTCTGTTTCTTATTCCTACCTAGCTTCCTAGCTAGCTTTCAAACCTGTAGGGCTTAAAACTGCTCCCAAATTCCAGATCTCACATTTTATAGAAATAAGCCTGAGGCCAGGAGGACAAAGGCAGACCCCATGCAGACTGGACAGACAGGTGCTCCGCCATGCCCGCCTCCCAGGGGAGGCGCACTCACAGACAAGGCTACCGGCCTCCTCGGGTAGCAGAGGGGAGCCCCGCCCTCCTGGGGGCCAGGTTGCGGTCAGCGGGTGGGGCCATGGCCTCTGCTTGACAGGCTCATACCACCTCTGCCTTAGGCCTCTGTTCTGGTGTCTCTGTGTTGAGTCTTTATTTCACAGAAGGTTTGAAGACAAGGTCACAGAACTTAAGAAAGAGTGAGAAGAAAGGCCGCAGTGCTCATGGACGAGCCCACAGGCACGATGGCGTGGCCTGAGGGACACCTGGGCAGGCGCCAGGGACGCCGTGCACCTGAGGTCCCCGGCTGAGGCTCCGGGTCTTCAGACGAGTGCAGCAGAGGGTGGGATAGTGGTACCAGGGACCCGGAGGGAGGACGGCAGAGGGCACGGGTGGCAAAGCTCCATTCAGCGAGCAGGACACCCTGGAGATGAGGTGACGGCCACGCACGCCCGACGCCACAGAAGCGCGCCCGGGTGGCAAAGGTGGCAGCTGTCAGCTGGCCATCCCAAACCAGGGCTAAGATCCCTCGTGCCCGAGGCCCAGCGAGGAGAGAGCATGAAACACGGTGGACAGGAGCACCGGGCACAGCTCAGGCCCTCTGTGCCCGGCCCCTTGGCAGTCATCGCCTTCCTTCAGGGAGGAGGCGGGACAGGGCACAGGCCTGGCGGTAGCTGTCTGCCGGCCAGCTTGCCCGCCCAGCGACAGATGAGGACACTGGCCTGTTCCCGCTCCATGCCCCTGACTCGAGCAGGTTTGGTGGCTGGTCAGCCACGGGGCTGGTGCTCACTGTGCTCTGGAGCTGGGGACAGTGCAGGAGTGGGGGTCCCCTCTGTGGGTGTGAGGGGCTTGCAGAGGTGGCTGTGGCCAGGGGCGCAGTCCTGCAGAGCTGAGGGCTATAGGCAGGGAGACGGAAACACATGGACCGTAAGGAAGGGCCAGCTGGCCTCAGAGCCCCTCACAGCCAAGGCCACACTGCTACCAGGTCTCGCTACATGATCTGTGGGAGTTTTCTATCCCATGATGGGTGCAGAACCTCCGGGGATCCCCAGGCACTGGACCACTCTGTGCTCCCATGATGGGTGCAGAACCTCCTGGGATCCCCAGGCACTGGACCAACTGCTCTGTGTTCCCATGATGGGTGCAGAACCTCCTGGGATCCCCAG